TGATACGCTGTGAGTCATGGAAGATTTTTCTTCGGGCAAAGTACCAGTGTCCAACACTCCAGATTATCACAATACATTCGATGGGCCACGGCTCCCTCAGCATGATCGACAACCAACTAGTCAACCTCCTTCACACCTTGAAGTGAGTTTGCATACTCAACATCTGTTGTTGCAGCATATAGCTGAGGATCGCCGAGAGAAAGAACATCTGGCTGCCAAACTGAATTCCATCAACAATAGAATGAAAGTTGTGCACATGATTACAGCTAAAAATAAGAAGCGCCTATGGAAATTGCTTCGAAAGTTCTTCTCCAAGAAACAACTTCTTAACTCTGATCTCAAAGAACTCTATGAGTATATTGATCAAGGTTTCTCTAATGAAAATTTTCAAGATTGTATCACTCCACCTCTGACAGCTCGTCAGCCAACAACTGTTTTACTTCGGTTTCAACTGCACAAGTTGCTCGACGAATCATAAGCTACCTCACCAACCGAGAAACCAGCTGAAGGAAATGTGTTGTCTCGAAAGAATAAACAAGCTGATCCTAACGTGCCTTCATCTTCTTAGCCTCAAGCCAGTCTTGAAGGAACATCTACTGTTGCTGACGATGAAGATATACCAGCCACTTCTGAATCTAAAACATCTTCGGCCAGTTCTTCCGGAGACACCTCAGAGTGAATCAAGTTCACCTCTTTTGCACTCATGTTCTTCGTCACCTTTTTGACACTAGTTGACAAAAGGGGGAGAATTACATCGAGTTTCGATAGATTTGCTCTAATAGATTTGGTCTTTGTGTTTATTTGGTCTGATGTTATGAGACTTTTGAGCTCTATGCCTTAAAGACTATATGTGCTTTGATGTAAAACTTATGTGCTGTAATATTAATAACCCTGCCTGCTGCACTATTTCTCTCGAAGCATTTGTTTTGCAGGTGGAATTATTATCAGAAGTTATGAATGATTGCACTATAGTCTCGATGGATTATATATCATCAATGCGAATCATTGAAAAATCATCCACATACTTCAATGAATTGCAGAGAATTTTATCTCATATTTCTGACCCTGCATACATCTAGGGGGAGTATATTTCATCATTAAGCCAAGTAACACAAATTCACTCTTGTTCGATCAATTCTTTCACTTTTCTATCTTCACTTTGATGATTATCTGTTTTGTCAACAACCGTCCAAAAAGGGGGAGATTGTTGGTGTGATGATAGGCCCCTTATGTTTTGGAGTTTGTTGACATAAACAATATGAGACTTATGTGTTTGCTAGTGCACACAGAGTAACAGGTCCCCGGGAGATCGAGGAGTTTGATGCAAACGACGAAGATAATCTCCCTACGTTGCAGCAAAGGTTATCACCGAAGATGGTGTTAACAAGAGTGACCCCTAAAAATTGCTAAAGTTCAGGCAATTAGTTCGGTGTCTGTTCGAAGAAAATGAGTGTGCTCGAGGAGAAATGAAGACGAAGTGAAGACGTAGCATTTATTTCATTGTTCTTCTTCTTTCATTGAGTCATAGGACCACCGTACTATTAAGAGGGGTGTAGTGTTCGAACTTTGATTCTCGGATGCTAAACCCAAATCCTATGAAAGTTGTGAGAGAAATCTCTTTGTGTTTCGAGTAAATACTTGCCAGCAGGAGACTGTGATCTTCTTCGCTGCGAGAGATTTGTCTCAGACCGAGGAGTTAGCACTACTTGTTCCTCAAGTAATGTTGTGAATGTGTCGGTTGGCCATTGGCTGGACCGCGTGTTCAAAATGGTCATTTCCCATCTAGGAAGGCTGCGGCTATAAATAGCCACCCGCGCCGGCTTTGTCCGGTGGCTGCTCTGTTTGATTCTGAGAAGTTTGTTGAGCAAACCACTCTCTGAGTGATCTGAGTTTAAAATCCACCGAGAGAAAACCCCTAGAGCTGAAGAATTAGATAGTGGTTCAACATCACTCGAATCTAAGTCTAGTGCGCTCCACCTATTACTCTTGAGAGCTGCAAACTCTCTAGACGATTAGGTGTCAATTTCTTCAGAGACCAAGAGTGATTGTGGTTCTCGAAGAAGAAGTCTGTAAAGGTTCGGAGATCACCTTCAAGTATCTACCATGAGTAATCGGCATCGGTTGACGAATCGATTGTCGAGGAGAATAGGGTGGAGAGAGTTTATCTTCCGTGTTAAGTCACAACCCCTCCAACCATACGTAGTCCTTGTGCAGAAGGACGATCTGGTCGACCAAATTCCCTATCTCCATCGAGCACCACTGGTTATCTCTGTTATCCGTGTTTCCCGTTCGACATTTTTTCCATCATGTGATTTGTTTTGATGTATGTTTAATCTCCATTCGGTACTTAGTTTAGCTCGTTGTAGCTTGTTTTCATTTGTTTCCGATGCTGGGTTCTGGGAGTTTTTAGTTTTTCCGAAAAAAATTAAAACTCCCATTCACCCTCCCCTCTGGTAGACATACTTCATTCCTACAGACTGTGGTGGCAGGGCCTCCACTAGCTACCGTGGCAGGTGACGCATGTTGCTTGTCGGGCTTGTCATCACAATACTTTTGTCAATTCTATTCAAGGGCGGTCCTTACTATCAATACGTTTGTGTAAATATTCTAAAATGCCAAAAATTGGAGGCCTTCTCCTCGATGGCCAACCTGTCTTCTTTCTATCCTGGGGGTTGGAACAGGGAGATATCCCTCATTGATTGGTTCATTGCTCATAGAGCGTGGTTAATAATACAATCAACAATCGGTTATAAGGAGTTGTCATACATTTAATCTAATAGTCGGTTTGTATAATAGCGAGTATTAAAAATGTACTACTACTTTACTAATAGTTGACACATCTTATAATTTCACAAAGTATCTTGGATATAATTGCTATAGCCTGCTTTTATTCTACAACCTGCTTTCCTTCTCTTTCTTCTCTTCTCTTTTCTCCAACTAAGTAAAGATATAATATTTTACTCCTTATAGCATGCTTATGTCACCTTATTATACCCGCTCTTAGCAAAAGGACAGAATGCTAAAAATGGAAAGGCGCAAAAACGCTTACAACATCTACATCCGGGCACCTCAAATTCTCCATAACAACCGGGTGGATGGCTCGATCAGTGACCGGTGAAAAAAAGCGAGTCAAACGAGCGCCTCAAACCGGTCTCAAACGCCTAGACTGTCCAGTACCCCCTTATATCCAGACCAAATCTGGGGTAGATATGGGGCAACCTGGACGCGGCCGGGCACGTCCATTACGTCGAAACGAACAGTTCGATCCCAACAAAGCGTGACCAAATCCACTTCCGACCTACCACTTTTCACTTGCTCCTCCCTGCCGGACATCTGCTACCTCCGCCGCTACCCTTGCGCCGGATTTTGGCCTTCACTGTCGGACTGCATACTGCACCTATGAAGAAAAAGGAGTCGGGCAGCCATCAATGCTTCTTTTGTGAGGAGAAAATTCATATGACAGTCAATTACCTTTAGAAAGGGTGCACTGATGAATGATTTTTATCACTTAAATGATGCGGCTATTTAAACTGATCGCCTCGCTCCGAGATGGGAGTAAACACCCTACCCGCCGGGCCAACATGGACATTTACACTCCTACCCCCGAGGCAACTCTGTGTGGCTATTTAAACCGATCGCCTTGTTCCGAGATGAGACTAAACACTCTACCCGTCGGGCAAACACGTACATTTACACTCGTACCCATGGGGCAACACGGACAACTACATTGGAAATCTAGGTATGGACAACCCCGGACGTTAACACGAGTCGTCTACACTGAAACTGGTGTTTTCAAAATAGGGTTTGTGATTGCAAACGATAAAATTTAAGACCCGTCCAGTCACTGTGCGGTGCGAGGATGTTTGATGGATCAAATTTGCTGTCCGCCGCGGCAGCCGTAGATGCTCTTACGCTGTTGATCTACTGGGAGATATGGTTAGAACGGAATAGAAGAATCTTTAGGCTTTATGTGGTGGAGGAGGTTTGGGGAGGTTTGGGAGGGAAAATCCCCGTAAGGTTCAAAATCTTCAGAAATTCTTGTCAACCCATTTGATACATAAGGATTGAGCATGCCAATCCTTTCTGTTTTTCATGAATCTCCCTCAATCCATGTGGTACAGAAAATCCCCTAAGACATCCATGAAACTGGACGCTTGCTTTGATACTGTTGTAGGAGGTTTAATCAAATAGATGAGTTTATGAGAGGGAAGGATGAGTAGGAAATTAAAAGGATTGGATGAAAGAGAGGGATTAACCAAATTCCCTCGGACGCTCCTCCACTCCGGGGCTGTAAAACCTTTCGTGCAAAACCTTTCGTGTCAAACGAGGCCTTAAGCGCAAGGAGCTTCCTGTAGCGGTGTCACTCATCCGCATCCGAGACGAGGCAGCGACCTCCTCTGGCCGGCTGCCCAATTTCGTTCGACCCAGGCTGTGGCTGCGGCCACTGGCCGACGAGGAGGGCTGAGCAAAGCCCGCTCCAGTCGCATTTTTGAGTTTTCATTTTGAGTTAACCTGTACTTGCCCGACGCCGTTCTTCTTCAATGAAATCACAGCAGTTCTCCCGTTTCTTTGAAAAGAAATACTCGGATGTATTCGAAGGTGCGTACGAGTTCTGCTGCGTTTGCCAGAGTTTCTAGCTTCACCGTGCCACTACATGTGGACGCCCACAGTACAACACAAGAACAGAGTTTCCATGCTGCGGGAGCTCCGCAATGGCAGATTGGTCGACGGAATTAGAGGTGCATTCGACTTCAACACGGAAGTAAAATCGAAGTTCCAAAAGCAGTTAAGAGAGAACTGTGACTCGCTCGTTCAAATCAGCACAGAAGTTGATCACAGCAGTACATCACACTTTGGACTCGATGCTTGCATTACATGACTATAACTCTGGACACGGACGTTGAACACGCACCCAAATCCATCCACACGAGCAAAAGGCACAAAAGAGCGAGTTGAAACTCACAGCAGCGAACTGAACCTGAACCTTAATCTCAAGCAGCCTAGCCGGAGATCTGGATGGACTTAACCTCGGGCTTCTTGGCCCCCTCCTTGGGCACGGTGACGGTGAGCACGCCGTTGTCCATGGTCGCCTTGATCTGGTCCGCCTTGGCGTCCTCCGGGAGCCTGAACCGGCGCAGGAACTTGCCGCTGCTGCGCTCCACGCGGTGCCAGGTGTCAGTCTTCTCCTCCTGCTCCTTGTTCCGCTCGCCGCTGATCTGGAGCACGTTGCCGTCCTCCACCTCCACCTTCACTTCCTCCTTCTTCAGCCCCGGCACGTCCGCCTTGAACACGTGCGCCTCGGGCGTCTCCTTCCAGTCGATCCGCGCGCCGGCGAAGGCCGCGGTCTCGGAGCTGATGCGCGGGAACGAGGGGAAGAGGCTGCTGCTGCCGCCGGAGCCGAAGGGGAAGCCGTCGAAGGGGTCCCAGAGGTCAGGGGAGAAGGGGTCGAAGGCGTTGCCGCGGGGAATCAGCGACATGGCTGCTCGATTTGGGCGAGGACGAACTGCGATTAGGAAGCTCTCAAACTCAGGGGATGGATGCTTTTCTTTTCGTTGCTTCACTTTACCTGGGCCGTGAGGGAGGCCAGATTTTATAGTGTACCGGTGGAAGGCCGGTGATGGGTCTGGAGCGTGCTTGTCTATTCTGGAATGTGCTAGAAACTGCTGCTTTTGGAGCGTTGGGCCTATGGCTGGAACGTAACCGGCCCTGCTGCGGCAGATGAAATCGTCATCTGGTATTTTCTAGTGGATTCTCAAAAAAAAAAAAATCGGGTATCTTCCAGTTCTTTCTTGAGCCGACGGCAAGTTAGTCTTAAAAATTATCTTCTCTATTTGTTCAACAAAAATTCTCTCTTTTCTGTGATAAGCAATCCAAACAATTTTTAAAAAGTATTCTCTTTTCTGTCTAAAAAAAGCCACGTTTAAGATGATCTTGAAGTCCTTTGTTTTGGAAAAATATCTTTTGATGAAGACCATGTCAATATTCATTTTTATTAGGGAAAGCCATCATGACGCATTTTATTACTTCAAAAAATGTTTACATCATTCAACAAGAATTGTAGAATAAAGCTAGGGGCATCATCCCGTGAGAAACAAAACCTAACTAGTCCGTGCGCCACTACATTAGCTTCCCTATGACAATCCATAAAATTAACCAAACCAATATCTCGAGCAATTCCCGTGCACGATGCATAAATCGGAGTTGCTTGTTCATACCACTGACTTGTTCCAGATAATGCATCTATAACACCCATGCAATCAGACTCTACTTGAAGGCGATTACAGCCAACCTCATTTGCTAGCAGTAAACCATCTTCAAGGGCCATCGCCTCCATAGTTTGGGCAGAAGCAACATAGGAAATGAATCGAGAACGTCCAGCCAGGAAGGTACCTGAGGAGTCTCGGAGAACAGCACCATGTCAATGTTCTTGATGAAGTCTTGAACCATCTTATGTTCAACTACCTGGGTTGTTTTTCCTCATCTATAGTTGCAATTTTGAAATGTGTATTCTTGAAAAGATTGAAGAAAATGAGATGACCACATCCTCCGCCACCGGGCGGGAGTCTGCATCCCCGAGCCGCGACATGCCGGGCGGAGTCGCAGTAGCCGGCTGCAATGGAGGAAGCTTCTGCAAGGAGGATCATGACCGGCAGAGGCTCTCAGAGGTGAGCGGCCCACAGGAGAATGATTGGGGACTTGCGGGGCTTGCGGGTTAGCGCATGTCTTGTCGTGGTGTCCAATCTGGAAGCAATTTGAGCATCTGAAGGGCTGTGATACGCAGTCGTCTTGTGCTCGTCGTCGAGCCAACGAAAGCACATCCGCCCCATCCACCCAGACAGACGAGGTTCCAAAGAGGGGTTGGGGAAAGTCGTGCGCCACAGCCTATCGCGCGACCGGACACGCACCCATCCATCCTCATCATTGAGATCTCCAGCTAAGCCATTTGTGGTGGGATGGCCAGCTAAAGGCGGTGAAAAGACATTGAAGCAGCCCCCAGTCAGCCACACCTTTGAAATGCTGGCCATCCTTAGAACACGGTGGATTAGGCGAGTTGGCGGCGACACTCAAGCCCAAAGCATGCCCAGTAGGGTGTAACAACTTCGATGGCGTCTTTAGAACGAACTCCCACCGACCCTACAGAGGATCTTTGGGCGACCGGGGAAGAAGTGGTTTGATCTGGATCGGTGCGAGTTGCCATGAGAAGGGGCACGGGGAGGGCTGCAAGGTGAGTCAAAGGGGGTCCATACCTGCAGGGAGGGCACATGGGGGTGATGAAGACGACATTGACCAGGACGTGGTCGGGGCCGGAGTGTTTTACTACACTAACTTTTAGCCGGATCTAGCTGATCCCCTAAATGTAGCAGGGTATAATTTTGTTTTTTTTACTTATGCAATTACAACTGGTACGACCCGCTATAATAAAAACATTGAGGTTGTCGACGTTTCATCTGAAGCCGATGTTGTTCGAAAATACGAAGCATCTACACCGGAGTATCTCCGGCCAAGTAATGAAGATGAGGATACACTAGTTAATACTTGCATGCACGTTGATGCATCACACATAATTAATATAGGCCAAAAGGAGAAACATGTCCAGACTCAGGACAAGATGAGATTTATTAGTACTTCAGGACTTGACATGCGTACAATGATGCAAGAAATAAAGAGAGAGAAACATGAGATGGAAGCCAGCCTAGAATGCTATTCTGTTCCAATTGTAGGAGGCAAAATTCAGTCGGTGCATGCAACCAAGAATTATGGCTATTTACTTGGAGGTATAAAAGGAGTTAAAGAAAGATTTAAAGAAGGATTTATGTTCCTATTTTTACCACACAAGAAACATGTGCAGGAAGGAGATGTGCATGGTCATCTATCTCTCAAGGACTTGAATGGGGTCCACCTACAGTGAAGAAAAATACATGGTGTTTATTGCCGACATGTAAAAGGCAACTAATTAAATATAGTATAGAGTCCAGAATAGATTATAGTCTTAGTTTCCTTTTGACTTGTGCGTTGCATGTAGGGATAGATTAATTCTACGTGAGGGTCAAGTTGATTAGTCGGAGCAGCTATAAGTAGTAGAGGATGCGATCATGTAAAGGCAGATTATTCTTATAAATAGACACTGTGTTTTCAAGAGTAGACACCTGTATCATCTTTAGAAAATCTCTGTGTTGCGGTTTTTTTGTAAAAATTGTTTCGCGCGTGAGTACCATCTTTGAGATTAGTTTTCTTGTGCTGAGCCGCAAGGTTCAAATCCTCTATTTCGTGTATATCACGTGTGCGGGCGAGAGTTTGTTACTGCTTGTGGTGGAGTGTCGTAACTTCAAAAACTGAAAAATTAAGACGACCTGGGAAATTTGCATATTAATCGTCTGCTACAAGAATTTGTATTTTATCGCTCTTTGGTTAGAAATGAAAATTGTTTTCGTGAGCGTAAAAATTTCTGTTTTTCAGCAAGATCAAACAACTATCACCCAAAAAGATCCTAAAGGCTTTACTTGGCACGAACACTAATTAAAACATAGAAAACACAATCATAACAATAGCATAATTGTGCTAACGCTCAAGAACAAAAAGCAAAAAGCAAAAATAAATTTTATTCATTGGGTTGCCTCCCAACAAGCGCTATAGTTTTACGCCCTTAGCTAGGAATAAAGCAATGATTTAAGTTTTGTTATCTTTGTTCTGAGATTCATAAGATGCCCTCATGATTGATTCATATGGTGGCCTAATTTTTGTTCTACGAAAATGTTTCATACCCTTTCTTAGTGAAAATTAGAACTTAATATTGCCTTCTTTCATATCAATCACGGCACCGATAGTGCGTAAAAACGGTCTACCAAGAATAATTGGACAAGACGGATTGCAATCAATATCAAGACCAATCAAATTTATGGACACATAATTCCTATTTGCAAGAATAAGAACATCATTATTTCTTCCCATAGGCTTTTTAATAGTAGAATCCGCCAAGTGCAAATTTAAAGAGCATTCTTCAATATCGGTAAGACCAAGCACATCACATAAAGATTTCGAAATTGTAGAAACACCAGCACCTAAGTCACACAAAGCAAAACACTCATAATTTTTTATCTTGACTTTGATAGTAGGTTCCCATTCATTATGTAATTTTCTAGGAATTGAAACTTCTAATTCCAACTTTTCTTCTAAAGCTTTTATCATAGCATCGACAATATGTTTAGTGAAAACTTTATTTTGTTCATAAGAATGAGGTGAATTTATCATGGATTGCAACAAAGAAATACAATCAGTTAAAGATCAACTATCATAATTAAAGTCTTTGTAATCCAAAAGAGTGGGTACATCATTAGTTAAAGTTTTGACCTCTTCAAACCCACTTTTATCATTTTTCTCAACAAGATTTGCACCCTCTGAATTATCGGGACGCCTTCTAGATAAAGTTGACTCTTCGCCAGTCCCTTTTTCATCAATCTTAACTTTATTAAACAAGGAATCAATAGAAGAAACACCAATCATTTTAAGATCCTCGTCACTTTTACGAAAGTAATCACTAGAAAACATTTTTTTCTAAAAAAATCTCTTCTAGCTCTAAGCATAGCGGTTCTTTTCTTACTTTCATCCATAAAAACATAAGGAGCTTTAATTGATTCCTCAACTTTAGGCACAAAAAATTTCATCTTAAGATTTTCTACATCATGAGAAATTCTATCAACACTTCTAGACAAATCATCAATCTTCAACTTTTCTTCTATGGTAGTGTTGAGAATAATATTAAAGAATTATGGTAGTGTAATTTTCACAATGGCATACCGAAAGAGCTCCTTCTTCAATTTTTACTAGTAGGAGCTCTTTCGGTATGCCATTGTGAATAATTTGGCATGATATTATTAAGCAATTTTGTGGCTTCTACCAAAGTAATTTTCATAAAAGAACCACCCGCGGCAGAGTCTAAAATATTACGAGAAACAAAATTCAACCCCAAATAAAAATTTTGTATGATCATCCAACAATTTAACCCATGAGTTGGTCAATTACTTAGCATCATTCTCATCCTATCCCAAAATTATGCAACATGCTCATGTTCAAGTTGCTTGAAATTCATGATCTGGGTTCTAAGGTAAATATTTTTTGTGGGCGGAAAATACTTAGTGATAAAAGCGTCTTTGCACTTATTCCAAGAATCGATACTATTACGAGGCAAAGAAGAAAACCAAATTTTGCAGAATCACGCAAAGAAAAGGAAATAATTTCATCTTCACAATATCATTGTCCACATCTTTTTTCTTTTGCATATCGCATAATTCCACGAAGGTATTAAGATGGGACGCGGCATCCTCATTAGGAGTACCAGAAAATTGATTTTTCATAACAAGATTCAACAAAGCAGTATTAATATCACAAGACTCCGCACTAGTGGTGGGAGCAATCGGAGTGCCAATAAAATCATTGTTGTTGGTATTTGAGAAATCACAACTTGGTGTTCTCTTGAGCCATGATGACTATACAACAATATTGCACTCAAAAACAGATCTGACAAGAAAATGGCGAACGAAAAAGAAGGCGAATAAAACGGCAAATTTTTGTGAAGTGGGGGAGAGAAAAATGAGAGGCAAATGACAAATAATGTAAATTGCGATGAGATGAGATTTGTGATTAGGAACCTGGTAGATGTTGAAGATCCTCCCCGGCAACGGCGTCAGAAATTCCTTTTGATGCGGCTTGAAGCTACGTCGGTATTTCTCCAAAGAGGAAGGGATGATGCAGCACAGCGACGGTAGGTATTTCCCTCAGTGATGAAACCAGGGTTATCGAACCAGTAGCAGAACCAAGCAACAATACGTAAACGACTCCTGCACACAAATAACAAATATCGCAACCCGACATATTAAAGGGGTTGTCAATCCCTTTCGGGTAACGACGCCAGAAATTGGCAAACGGGCGTGAATAAATTGTAGTAGATTGATAGATCGAATGCCAAATAAAATAAATAAGAATAAATTACAACAAGGTATTTTTGTATATTTGGGTTATAGATCTAAAAATAAAAGTAAGGAAAATAGATCATAGGGGCGAATAATATGAGAAAGAGACCCGGGAGCCGTAGGTTTCACTAATGGCTTCTCTCGAGAAAAGTAGCAAACGATGGGTAAACAAATTACTGCTAGGCAATTGATAGAACTTCAAATAATCATGACGATATCCAGGCAATGATCATTATATAGGCATCACCAAGATTAGTAGAGCGATCCTGCCTGCATCTACTACTATTACTCCACACATCGACCGCTATCCAGCATGCATCTAGTGTATTAAGTTCATGGAGAAACAGAGTAATGCAATAAAACGATGGCATGATGTAGACAAGATCTATTTATGTAGAAACAGACCCCGTCGTTTTATCCTTAGTAGCAATGATACAAACATGTCGGTTCCCCTTCTATCACTGGGATCAAGCACCGTAAGATCGAACCCACTAGAAAGCACCTCTTCCCATTGCAAGATAAATAGATCAAGTTGGCCAAACAAAACCTAAATATCGAAGAAGAAATACGATGCTATGGGCAATCATGCATATAAGAGATCAAAGAAACTCAAATAAATTTCATGGATAAAAAGAGATAGATCTGATCATATACTCAAAGTTTATCGGATCCCAACAAACACACCGCAAAAAGAGTTACATCATATGGATATCCAATAGACCATTGTATTGAGAATCAAACGAGAGAAAGGAAGCCATCTAGCTACTAACTACGGACCCGAAGGTCTATAAAGAACTACTCACGCATCATTGGAGAGGCACCAATGAAAGTGGTGAACCCCTCCGTGATGGTGTCTAGATTAGATCTGGTGGTTCTGGACTCTGCGATAGCTGGAATTAATTTTTGTTGACTCCTCTAAGGTTTCTGAAATATTGCGGTATTTATAGAGTAAAGAGACGGTTCAGAGGGCACCCAAGGTGGGCACAACCCACCATGTGCTCCCCTTAGAGCAGCCCCCAGATGCTTCTTCGGTCCATTGGTTGTCTTCTGATCCTAAAAAATCCACTAAATGTTTTGCTACGTTTGGATTCCGTTTGGTATTGATTTTCCGCGATGTAAAAAACATGCAGAAAACAGCAACTGATACTTGACACTATGTCAATAGGTTAGTAAAAAAGATATATAATGACTATAAAATGGTTATAAAATATCCAAGATTGATCATACAACAGCATGAAACAATTAAAAATTATAAATACGTTGGAGACGTATCAGTGAGCAACAAAATTCAGACACACACATCACACACGATTCAGAGGAACAGATGTCACCTCAAAGCGACAAGATTTAGACACACATGACACAAGATTCAGACATACAACACACAAGATTCAGATAAACACACGGCGCCTCGGAGTAACAAGATTCAGACAGACAACACACAAGATTCAGCCAATTCACAACACAGAAGCAACATGATTCAAACCAAATTCACGGCACAGGAGCAACAAGACTCGGACACACACAACACACCTCGGACACACACACAACACACAAAAATCAGAGGAACACATGGTACCTTCGAGCAACGCGGGCAGAGAAGCAGCACCGGCGCTGTACTCCTTACTGTTCGTAGCAGTATGCTGGCCGCCGTAGCAGCAGCATCCCAACGTGACAGGGGTGGCCACGGCAGCACATAGCCTGCAACGCCTAGCGCATCACGGCATGGAACGCCGCGGGGGGCTTGGCGATAATGGAGTGCAGGCAGAAAGACTGGTTCCAGACCGGTTTGGGTCTTCTGCTAGCCATCACCCTGCTCGTCTCCTCCACGGCTAGTATCGATGATGACCAACGCGGCCGGCACAGTTGCTCGCCTTGCCATGCCCTGTTGCTGCAGTCCAGCGCAAGGCATCTCAACTTGTGTTGAGATGGCAAGATCATCGACGAGGTCGCCACCCTCGACAAGGAAACTTCACGTGAGTCACCGATCGGCTACAAAGAGGCATTTGCGCGAAGAAAACTAAGGGATGGATAGGCGCCAGAGTAAAATTTATCCTCCTCTACTCGGTTTAGTACTTCGGTTAGATGCAGTGTAGAGGAGTAAAACTGAGTTTATACTCCCTTACGGACGGATATGCGATCGGTTAAAAATGCCCTTATTATATTGTTCAAAATGCCCTTATTATTTTATTCGATCTACAAACTATGCTCTGGTACACAAAAGCCAGCACACAGTTTTTGAACAACTCACTGTCAGATAAAAAAACAGATCAGACACTTATACTTGCACACACAGATCAAGTATACTGTGTATTGAATTCTTCTTTAAGTACATTGTATTTACTTACTCTTTTCGTTTTAAAATATAATGCGTCCACGTTTTCAAGGTTTAATTTTGACCATAAATTTAATCAACGAGACCGACTACAACAGAAGCAAAAATTATATCATATATAATTTTTGCTTCCAACGCAGTCGGTTTCCGAGAGCCGAGAACACATTATATTTTGAAACGAATGGACTATTATACACTAGTAATAAGGGTGATTACAACTGGGATCAAAAACTTCAGGGTATGGACTTCAAGGATTTAACATCGGGGTTCATTTCTTTTGCGTCGTGCTTTATGTCCTCAGGTTCAAAACAGACTTCACTCGGTAGAAAAGTGCATAGAACTCAATATATAAACAGACTTCACTCGGTAGAAAAGTGCACAGAACTCAATATATGACGAGGCAGTCGAGGATGCGAACCCCCTGTCGAACATATACAGTCACCTGTGATTTCGATGCAGAAAAATGTCGAAACACGGGACGCACTTTGCTCTACCCTACTCTCAAGCATATATAGCAGTGAAAAAGGAAGTAGCAGTAGCACAAGATTGGCACGCGAAATACGCCGTACACTTCACAGGTAGCAGTCGAGGTAGGCGTGACGGTGCCTCCTGCGGAACTCGAGCAGGCTGCCGTACGTACGGTCGGCGACGCCCACGAACAGCGCCTCCGCGCCGTCGTCGGGGCTGAAGGACACGCCGGCGATCTCCCCGAACAGATCGATCTCCTGCGCGCGGGCGTACCCGGCCGCCACGTCGTAGACGCGGACGAAGTCCGCCGGCTCCGCCGCGGCCAGGAAGCGGCCGTCCGGCGAGAACCTGAGCCCCCTGACGGCGCCGATCCTCCCCTCCAGCACCGCGAACGCCTCGGACGGGTTGCGCACGTCCCACAGCCGGCACGTCCTGTCCTGGTTGCCCGTGGCCAGCACGCGCCCGTCCGGGTGCCACGCCGACGCGAACGAGTAGTCCGCGTGCCCGCGCAGGCTCGCGATTTCCTGACCCAACGCCACCACGGTGAGCAGCCATTGTACAGAAGTTCGAGCCGAATCGTAGCACATCTTCTCTGTTTACCTTGCCGGAGCCTGAATCGGCGATGAGGCAGTCGGAGCTATCACCGAGCACCGCGAGCAGCTTCCCGTCGGGGCTGACGGACATGTTCTGCACCATGAAGCATATGGCATGAGCAACCAAGACCGGCAGAGAACACCGCAGGCCTACCACCAGAAGCAGCGCAGGGTACTCACGTTGACGGACCACGCAAAGGGGAACTGGGTGAGCAGGCTGTACTTCTCCGTGTCAAAAGTTCTGACGACGCAGTCGTTGTTGGCAGCCATCACCCGGGTGGAGCCACTGTGCAACGAGACGATACGTGACGAACTCCGTTAGCAAATCATTTTGCATTCGGAACATAAATTGGTGCTGTATATAATGTGTTTGCTCACTTTGGTGATTTGTAGATCTCGACGGCGTTGGTGATGGACTTCTTGTTGCCGGCCAGGTTGGTACAGAACGCCACTCCGGGTTGATCAACATACTGACACAAACACACAATCGTCAGCTTAGACAAGAAGATCCAGAAGGAACAACATCCACAGGTCTGCACTGCGTGCCTACACCTCCTTACCTTGCATATCAACTCCCCATGGAAACCACCAGCCGCCAGGAGGTTGTCTTTCACCATCATGGTGCTGATCTGCACCCTTGACAAGGGCCGACCTCCCCGCATATCCTGCACAGTGTGGTCGCACAGTGGATCAGAGATTGATCGACATTCCGACGATCCAGGACTATCACATCGCTCTGTGGTAGATCACCTGATTTGGGCCTGCCACATTGGGCACTTCTTTTCCTCTCCGGAGTAGGGATGACCAATGCATCACAGAATAGTTCTGTGTCACGTACACATCATGCTTGGACGTAGCCCACAGGAGGTTCCTCAGCTGCACGTGGAAAAGTATACGGTCAGTGCATCTGTACCAGAATTATTCTTAAAACTCTGCAGAAATAGAATGATGCAAATGAGTGCCATTCCAAGTTTCCAACCCTAAAAAAATGAGTGCCATTCTAGTCAGTGGTTGCTACCGCACTAAATTCTACGATAACAAACAAGAACGCCGATGGAGGACACAACAGTAAGCTTCTGTTAAAATTCACTCGGGTAATTACAACTATGTGATGCTACTGTTAATCTAGATCTCCTTCAGGTTAGTATGGAGCTAGAGTTCTGCAACCAAAGTTCATATAAGTTGTTAGTCTGAACCCAGACTCAAGACTCGAGGTAAATTGATTAAAAAACTCCAGGTAAACCAGTCAGTTCATACGCATTAGCGCACCAGAACAGTTAAGGACCTCTCTGGTTCGCAGGATTGTAAAAACCCAGGAATAGGAAGAACACGGTAATGGAATGTCATGCCCACTCGAATCCTACACGATTTGAGTTAGTTTGATTGCATCAGGAAAAATAAAGTTTTTTTTTCAAGAGGTTGGAGTGGATGCTAGATTTCCTATGAAATGTATTACAAATGTTTCCTTAATAAAAAAAATCTATAGGATTCAATCTTACGAATCAACCAACCAACATAGTATCCAGTCCTCGAAAAATTGTATGAAATCCTTTGAATCAAAGAGGCCTTACAAGGTCAAGGCCTGCCATATAATATACATAAGTCGTAACAAGGAGATCCATTTGCGCACCATTTTCATAGCATTAGGTATCATCCAACAAAAATATAGTATTCAATAGTACTCCCTCTGTACATAAATATAAGAGGGTTTAGATCACTTCTCTTATATTTCTTTACAGAGGGAGTAACAGTGAACCATAAGACAGTATGTAATGTATCAATCCTCTTCTCTTCTCTTGTGTAACCTGCAAAAGGGAATTCAAGGAGATTCTTCTTTGCCTGTCGTAGAACTTTCAACCATACCCATCTTCTATGGCGATTCACGATAATGCCGCATTCTGGGGATCCTCGTCCACCTGCTTGTAGACCTGATATTGAAAGGACCGAATATTGCAGCTGCCCTATTATCACAGTTTAATTGCTGACACCAAAACTACAGATCCATCTTAGGACCCACCCACCATATGCCCTGCAACAAATGTTATGCATGTATACACACAGAGGAAACATGAATAACGCGGAGCACAACGGTGAGAAAAATTGAGAGCTGTTTACACAACTATACTACGCCAAGCACGTGTTGTTTGAGGTTGGAGCCTGTTAGTTTCATTTTTCCTCCTTTTTTTGCGGTGAAGAACCAATGTCATTTAGGAGTACTGGTTAGATCTGTACAAATTTGATATTTGTAGATTTAGGAAAAGTGAATTATGTCCGCGTGGCCAACAGCCTACCTATAGGCCAGATGACCAAACATACCCTAACAGTGACGAGGAATAAAAAACGTTTACCCATGAAACAGTGTTAATCAGGTTAATCATCCCTGTTAACAGACCAAAGAATTCCCTGACAGAGCTACTTTCGGCAAGTACAATAGCTACACACGAAGGCGAGCATGGAAACAGAAGAGGCGCGCCATGCATGACAAGATTTCATAATTTATGAACAGTGTGGTGACTGGTAAGTTAGCAAATACTAGTACTCCCTGCGATCCGATCCATATTACTTGTGCTGATTTAGTACAACTTCAGTACAAAGTTGTACCAATTTTCCAAATCGATGTCAGTTTGTCCATGCGAACAAACATAAATAATTTGTGGTGAAAATACAAAGGAAATAGGTTAAATCAATCTCGCAACAACTTTATGCGGGTGTCAAGTAGTCATATGCATGTGAGTGCCAAGGCCTGAAAGAGATTGGTACCTGAAAGTGCACTATTGTTGGCTTGACATGTCTTGTATTCAAGTGAAAATCGTAGAAGGCGTCTCTTGTCTCCGCTCGTTGGCATTCCTATAAACAAAATGATGGTTTTATGATGGTCAATTTCCCTCATGAACTATAAACTAGTCAATTCTCTTCTTTCTGATGAAAAGGCAGTTGCTTGAAAAAAGAATCCCTCCATCCGAGTTTTTTTTTTTTGCGAGAACTCCATCCGGGTTTGTTAGCCGACACGGATGTTAAGGTCTAAATTTGACTAACATAACATGTGTAATGTTCCATAAGAAATACTATGTTTACAAACTTTATTCAACGACGAATCTATAAACATATTTTTTTGCCGTGTAATACATGTTTTGCTAGTCAAATACTGTATAGAAGACAAAAAAGACCATACCTGACTAACACAAATGATAAACCAGCTGTTGCTTAACTGCTAAAAAGACTAATAAAGTGACAGCTATTGAAGATAACATAATTTACACACAAAAAGTGAGCAGTGCATCTTCTCACCTTTGCCAGTGCATCCCGCGGCCTAGCGAGGCTCTGGTAGTTCTTGTACTGTTTTAGCCTCATCTGACGGTACTGATCCCTGCTGTAGTTCAATCTCTCCCAGGGTATCTCCTGCATGTCCTTCCCTTGTCTGTACTCCAAGGCTGAAGTGTCGTTCATCTCAGTATTCTACGATCGGAAAAGGAAAAAACTGTTAGATCTTTCAACACCTTCACAGCGCTAGGCGTACAGCATCGCTCCTACTAGTAGAGAAGAAATTTGTGTAGTTTTTCCTCTGTCGTTCTAGCTAGCAGGTGATTGTGCTGCTCAGATTAGGCAGTGAACCAAAGAGGAGCCCGGCATCATACCAGCTGGTATTGGGAAGCGCCGCCGGAGGTTCGGAGCCCGTTGCCGCCGGCATCGTCGAACTCGAAGTCGTCGTAATCGTGGCCGGCGGCGACGAACTCCAAGTCGTCCTGCAGGTCGTGCGCCATCGGCGGACTGACTCGGAGTTGTAGAAGGGGCGAATCGAGCTTAAACAAAACCCCGACGAAACTGAATCAAGAGAGTATTTCTATCGGCCGGTTGGGTGGCAGGAATTGGGCGGAGTTGCGATCCTGAGCGGTGAGCAGAGCGGAGCAGAGTGGGGAAGCGTGATGGAGAAATGGTGAGCTTGGACGTCCCGGTGTTTATATAGGCGGCGGGTTGGGGCGGTGCAGGGTGGCGTTAACATGCGGATGGTCGCCGTTTACGACGGGCAGGCCCCGGCCGGAGAGTGTAACGGAGCTGTCTCTGCCTGAGGGGATGGACTGGACGGGGCACCAGGCATGCCTCCACGGAATCCACACGTCGTGTTGCATGGTTCCCCGCGTGCGCGGCTGTCGCGCCGCAGTCTGGACCTTTCAGGCGCTTGCCACGGGTCCACGACGCTTACCAGTTTGCCACGAGTCCACAATGCCTGCCCATTTTTAATACGGATCCCTACTCTGCCCAGTAGTACATCCGTCCGGATTTAACTTTAGTCAAGGAGAAAACATCCGTCCGGATTTAATAGTCACCTCAATTTCAAATCATATTTTAATCCTAATCTTAACTAATACTCTCTCTCCATCTCAAGATAAGTGTCTTAATTTTATACTAAGTTAGTACAAAATTTATTAAGTTTGAAACACTTATTTAAGACGGAGGAAGTAAAATATACTTCATCCATTTCTAAATATTTAACGTTTTAGAGATTTTAATGAACTATCACATACGAATTTATATACATATTTTAGAATGTAGATTCACTCATTTTGTTTTGTATATAGTCACTTGTTGAAATATTTAAAAAGACAAATATTTAAAAATGGAGTAAGTTTTTTTCGAAAAGAAGAATACCCCTTTATGATCACACAACCATCTTCATTATATTATTTAACAAATCTGACAAAACAAATACATGAATCAGTTTGAAGCCATCCTTTTGATGAACAATGTCGAACACACATCATCTAATCCGGAGCCTCGTCAAACGCCCCACGACGAGTTAATAACTAGTCTAGCCAACCCTCGGCATACACCGCATGCACACGCTCCTGAATCCGCCACTGCCATCGTTCATCCTTCCAACTTCAAGAGAGATCAACGCATTGATCTTGTCATGCCCAACTACCGTCAATGCCACCACGAGCCAGACAACACCATCATCCTGTGCGCATCCATCAACACACGTCCAACGCCGAGATCCCGTTGTGTCACACCACCGAGACCCGTCGTTGCCGACGTGGTAGATGTCACACCGCACAACCTTCTGATCTAGATTGCCGCCAATGCCAACCAAATGGTGTCCACAAGCCAACTATCTCCCAAGGCGGCCCCTTCAAGAAGGGAATGACGCCAAAGGTGCCATCATTGCCCACCTCAGTTAAGGCTTTCACCCACGAGACACCCGAACGCCGCTTGTCGTCTCCCCAACCAGAAGGCCAACCGTCGCGCCACGCGAACGGCCATGGTGGCCATCGTCGAGAGCCCACACGAGACCGCCATCCCGCATCCCAACATGCCGCGCAGATGCCCGCGGGGCCCCATTCCCACGGTACCAGTGTCGACGAAGCAGCGCAAGGCGCCGCCGCATCGGATCCGCAACCAAGATATCAAAGGGATCCCACATCCTCCGCCCTGGAGAAGAGCAGCGCCGCTGAAGCCCGACGATCCTAAAGGAAACGCGGCGCATGTCGGCGGGCAAGAAGCGCCAATGTGGGAGCTGCTGCTGGCGGCAGCTAGGTGACGGTGTCCTAGACTAGGGGGTACTAACCTAGTTGACCCATGCTCCTCGGGATGGGCTGGTAGGCCCTCATTTTTCTCAAGATGGACTCCGGGAGCCGCACCCCGGAGGCATGATCGAGACTGCATCTACCAAAGACTTGTCGTATACTCCAAGATTTCTCCTACCGCCTCCATGCCAAGATACCGACCTGGTAAACTCTAGATGCCCTACCTAGCGTGTATATAAGCCAGAGGGTTTAGCCAGTAGAAGGGACTTCAACGCAATCTCATTCATCTAGCCCTAGGGTTAGAACACATCTTACGATCTCGAAGTAGATCAACTCTGCATTCGATACATCTCCATCAATATAAACAAGAGCATGACGTAGGGTTTTACCTCCATCAAGAGGGCCCTAACCTGGGTAAATATCGTCTTCCTGTTCCTGTTACCCTCGATCCGAGATCCACAACTCAGGAACCCCTACCCCGAGGTTTGCCGGATTTCACACTGACAGTAGGGTTACAACCGGGTCGCACGCTTTGAAGTGACACAGGAGTCGAGGGGGGGGTGTTTTCTTCTCAACCACCCGAGTATGTAGCAAAAATAGTATCATTAGAAATTACATTCAAATACAAATTCAACAATATTTTATTTTATTGTTGCATGTACTAACATTTTGCTAGTCAAATATGTGGTCAAATTTTGACCCAAAAATTTATGGGGACTAATAACCCAGACGGAGGTAGTAGAGGCGTACGAACGACCTTCCCATGTCGTTTCCCTACAATTTTGCTGTTGATTGTTTGTTAATTTGTAAACGAGAGTGTTATCTGACGAATGTCAGCTAGAAAGGGGGTGGTAAGCGAACATTTTTATGGTAAGTTTACTTGATAAGGGATGGAAAATCCTGTCTTTTTTGCCGCAAAATCTCTCTTCTTCCCAGAATTTGTCATGTGTTTCTAAAGAAACTGCCAACCTCATACAACTAAACTTGCCAAAAACATTCGCAAATGCTAACCCCTCCTAGAGAACATTCGCCAACTATGTTCTTGGCTTCTCTTCTATGTCAAGAACATAACTTTTCATAGTCTTTCATGTTTTTGGCTTCAACAATTGTTATGACAACGCCCTTTACTTCAAGATGTCCAGTAGCAAAGTAGGATATTCTTCAGTATGTTTGCAACAATTGTTCTTGGCAAACATAAATCTGAGCAACACTACAAAAAGAATCCACAAGTAGTGGTTGGTGTCCGCACCTCCTAGAACTTCAAAGCCAAACCATAGTATTAAACTGCAAAAAATAATACAAAACTATGCAATGGAACTAAGACATCTACTTGCATTATTCGTCTGAAAAACCATACAAAACAATGATTTGACCAATCAACATTCAATATAGCACGAGGGTAGTATACGAATAATCCACAATACTAACTATAATGGTCTTCTCAACCTCAATAGAAGGCAGTTTCGACGGTAATGGTAAAATGGCAGTGGCAGTACAAAACACTTCGAAGTTGCAGCACCGCAACAAAGTTTGTGGTTACTGGTGCAACATTCGATGGCATGAATACACACAAATAAAATATAAACAACAATAAGATATGAGGAAAATGTGCTGCACCCAAGAAGTACAAAAGTTCTCTTACATAAACAGAGGTCATAGTATTGCTGCAAAAATGCTTCGAAAGCTAATCTAACTTTTATATACATATGAATCTGTTAGGCTAGTCATAGTGGACAGTAACTTAGACTAGTAACATATGTATGTTATTAGTCTATGTTACTACCTTCATAGTGGGAAGTGTCATAGGTGTAGTAACATGCATATATACATTTATTGCTTTGTAGACTCATTTTGCATTGGAAAACGCTATGTGATGGTAACATATTATGTTACTCCATTTGTCTCTCTCCTCTTTAATTGCATGACACATCATCTTTTTTGCTTATGTGGCATGTATGTTACTAGTTATGTTACTCTCACTATGACTAGCCTTAGTGTAATCGAGAGGAGAAGTAGAAGCAATATTTTATCAAACGCCCTATAGAGTACCATAGCCGGCTATAACAACTCTCACCCACATGTTTGTTTGTGCAAGAACATGATTCTACCAAGGAAACAACAAACAAGGCAAAGAAAATGTCTTCATGCCAACTAAGAAAAAGGAAAATGTCTACATTTTTTCTTTGCTCCTTATACTAGAAAAAAATGCATGAATGCAAGAACTCTAACACAACGACGCATATTAATGGTTCTATGCGGTAATGGGAACTTGATTGTTTCCACATCCCACAAGCCCCCCCCCCTCAAGCTCATCAAGTCACCGTGACTGCACGGGCAAGCCACATGAGACCATTAGTGATTTTGGAAATAAAACATAAATTAAGTAAGGGATAGGTTAGCTAACCTGATTGTTTTTGAGCTCACCATTGATAACCCATAAGTATAGGGGATCGCAACAGCTTTCGAGGGTAGAGTATTCAATCCAAATTTATTGATTCGACACAAGGGGAGCCAAAGAATATTCTCAAGTATTAGCAGCTGAGTTGTCAATTCAACCACACCTGGAAACTTAGTATCTGCAGCAAAGCATTTAGTAGCAAAGTAATATGATAGTGATGGTAACGGTGACAAAATAGTAACGAAAGCAAAGTAATGTTTTTGGTATTTTGTAGTGATTGTAACAATAGCAACGGGAAAGTAAACAAGCGTAAAACAATATATGGAAAGCTCGTAGGCATCGGATCAATGATGGATAATTATGCCGGATGTGGTTCATCATGTAACAGTCATAACATAGGGTGACACAGAACTAGCTCCAATTCGTCAATGTAATGTAGGCATGTATTCCGAATATAGTCATACGTGCTTATGGAAAAGAACTTGCATGACATCTTTTGTCCTACCCTCCCGTGGCAGCGGGGTCCTAATGGAAACTAAGGGATATTAAGGCCTTCTTTTAATAGAGAACCGGAACAAAGAATTAGCACATAGTGAATACATGAACTCCTCAAACTACGGTAATCACCGGTAAGTATCCCGATTATTGTCACTTCGGGGTTAACGGATCATAACACATAATAGGTGACTATAGACTCGCAAGATAGGATCAAGAACTCTCATATATTGATGAAAACATAATAGGTTCAGATCTGAAATCATGGCACTCGGGCCCTAGTGACAAGCATTAAGCATAGCAAAGTCATAGCAACATCAATCTCAGAACATAGTGGATACTAGGG